GGCAATCAAAACAAAACATATTTGTTATCAAACGTATTGAATTTCTCATTTTCATTTGGTCAAAAGGTAAATGTCAAAGGTAAATTGATTTTTAAGAAGTGTTAATAACCATTTATCTATGAATACTGAAAGTGTATTACAGATGTATTTGCATTATAAATAAACTCGGACATAATCCGCTCAATATTTGCCCTGGGTTTAAAGAGGATTAAATTAGATATGCTATTTATATGGTACATTACTACCCATTTTCTAATGACACACTTCCATTGATTTGTATTGATAAACATGACTTTCATTCTGATGCGATAATACAAGTGTATAACTGTTTTAGAATACATAATTATATTCATTGGAATACCATCGTCAATGTGTATAAATTATTAACATACAGTATAACTTAAAATACATGCTTTTGTGTATATTTCCAAAATTATTACACAATTAAATGAATTAAACCAACTTATCTGTTATATCAAAATGGCTCTACGTGATATATTTAAAATAATTGCCGACGAAAATGGTCGTATTTCGTCGGGAAAATTACGAAAATTCACCAGGGATTTGGAGATGGATATATCGGAAGAGGAAATAAAGGAGATGGTAAAAGCCGTACAACCAAGCAAGGGTGGAGGAAATGCATTCGATGGTATTTATGAATTAAATTATTCTTTAACAAATACAAGTTTACGCGGTTTAGCATTCTGTTTGCAAAAGCCAAATGCAAAAATGTATTTAAAATGAAATATAAAATAAATGATTGCAGTTGTCATTTATAAAACTATAGAAAGGGAAGTGTCGAACTTTCGTTTTTATATATATATGTAAGACGCAATCTTATTTTATCAAGTGCAAGTGGTCTCTTGAACCCTTACCTGATTAATTATTTAAAATTATCAAAGGTGGTTTTATTCCTCAACTTTTTCTCACCAAATCCCTTTAATTCCCGTCCCTCTTCATTGCACCTTAAGGTAGTTTACTCTTCACCTGCTGAAACGTAAGTGATTAGTCTTTGTCACTACATGTAGTAGAAAGAGCCACATAAACTAGAAGTATGTGAACAAAGTCCGACAAGGAAATGCGACATTCACTTAACGAAAAGCCAGCAAAATAAAGTAATACAGAAAAGTCTGTAAAGTCTGATCCTGTCCCGTACTGGTGGTTGCTTTATTTCATTTTTTCATTTTGGTATTAAAATTAACCCTTGATCTTAAAATGGGCTTTCTTTCACTGATCTGACAATATGGTTAAATATAAGATAACGTTTTATACAAAAGGTCCGCCTGCTAAAAAGAATTGAAAATGTTGGATATGTTCAGTTTAATTAGTCCTATTTCATGACGACAGCTTAGTTTCAACTTTTGATGTAAATATTATGCCTAAAATAGGCTAAAGGATAAAACTGGAAATATATACGCATTTTGTATCAGTTTCGTTTAGATTAATACAGTACGTTTATGATTCAAATGTATGCATTTTGTATCACTTTCGTTTAGGTTGATACAGAAAGTACGTCTATGATTCAAATGTATGCATTTTGTATCAGTTCCGTTTAGGTTGATATAGTAAGTACGTATATGATTCAAATGTATGCATTTTGTATCAGTTTCGTTTAGGTTTATACAGTAAGTACGTTTATGATTCAAATGTATGCATTTTGTATCAGTTTCGTTTAGGTCAATACAGTAGATACGTTTATGATTCAAATGTATGCATTTTGTATCAGTTTCGTTTAGGTTAATACAGTTAGAACGTTTATGATTTAAATGTTTGCATTTTGTATCAGTTTCGTATAGGTTAATACAGTTAGTACGTCTATAATTCATCATTATGGCATGCATATGTATGTATGGTTGTCATTCTAATATCACATAAGTTTACAAAATATAGTGTTTAACCCCTTTAGATTGTAAAATGGTTCCACAGGAATAATATAGGTCAACTATTATGTGATCATTAGGAGAATATTTACATCGATAAATTTGCAAAGAAAAAGAATATATATATGGAACAAGATGTTGATCCATTTCCATTCTATTATACTAAATATACTAATTATACTATAGAGAGACTGAATTTTGATTTATTGTCGCCACATCTGACGTCACATCGCAAACAAAATACATATGTACCTTTGTATGTTATGCGGCGCTCTCAACTTGTGTAGCGTGTTATAATAAGTTGTGGCTAAATACGTTGTCTTGCCTTTGTCACCGTCGGTCATGAGTAGACTTTGAGAGTAAAAAAGTAAATAAAAAGACGAGGCTGTCACATTATTGATTTTGCCGTCTGGACCGATATTTAAGGTTTCCAGTTTTTTTATATAGTCATTTAATTTTTTTTCATGAACACAAATAATTGTTCCCTCTTTATTTACATTCCTCATTTTCTCAAAAAAACAAAACAAAACCGGAATCCCTAAAGAACGCCCAAAATGACAAATTTGAAAATGATGCAGGCTCGGTTTGATTGAGCCTGTTTGTGTGTTTGTAGGCGGTACTGGAAAATGCAAGTTACCGTCCACGCCCCTAGCACAGGCTTAAGCAGCATTCAACATTTAAACATGAAAATGGTGAAATTTGTAGACATCCGCAGATGTGTTCATACAGCGGTTATCATGGCCCGGACATATCTTTGTGGTGCATCCAGCGCTTCTATAATGACATTCTTTCTATAGTCCGAACTTTATTCATGCTTATCACTTGCATTTGTCCTTCATTAAAATACTAATTCAAATATCTTTTTTATAGGACTTATGGGAATGGTGCAACAGTTTAGTAAAGATTTTCCAAAGTTGGTAAGAAATATATGATTTACTTTTTGGTTTAGTGTATGTTGCCATTAACTTCCTAAAGCCAAGTGTAATTAGAAACAAAAGCAATTACATGATTGATTCAGTAATTTTATTTTCTTCTCATACAAAGGCATTAGATTATAGGTTGAATATTGTCCAGTGCAAGTCGGTAATTCAAAAACTGTCGTGGAATTTCCTTATATAAACAAAGTAGGCTGTGAGCAATCGACGTTTTTTTATTTCTTCCATGTGCATATCTATAATGCCCACATCTCTGTCAAAAGCTTTGGCGAAGGCGTATTTTGCGACAATGTTGCCCTTGTTAGTTAAAATACAATGTAGAAATAGATATTGTCTTTGAGTTCGTTGTGGTATAAGATTAAACAGTTTGTCATTCAGAGTCATATAAACCGTGGTATATAACGCCACAACACTTTTAGAATTAAAATTTTCTCGCTAAATATTAGTTATTTAAAACTGAAATTACGCCGAATTTACAATTTTTCATCACAACACAATATTATTATAGCATTATAAAGTGTAAGTACTGACAGCTGTTAGATTCGTTCGTTTAAGTTAATCGTTCATTATTTTCACTTTTTATAGAGCTTCTAAATCATTAAATATAAAAAAAGAGAGAATAAGAATCCCTAAAAAAGCACAAGAAAGCAAAATTGAAAATGTTGCATGCTCGGTTTGATTGAGCCTATTCATAGACGGTACTGTCAAGTGCAAACTACCGTACACGTCCTCTAGGACCGGCTTGAGCAGAATTCAACATTTGAACATGAAATTGTAAAATTTTGAATTTAGGAACGTCCGCAGATGTGTTCATACGGCGGTTATCATGGAACCTTCAATGTGACACAGAAGTGCCATTCCATGAAAAGCGGCGTATTGTCCCCAAGTAATAGAAAGCGTGTGCCTTAAACGAAAAAGCAATGGGCTGAACTAAACAAAATGGAATTTTGAAAGGGGATCAAAGATTATGAATCCTGCATTTCAAAGATAAGGCATCAAAAGACAAATTGAAAAGCAAGCAACATATCCTACGGATGATTCAACATTATTCAAGTAGGAATATTGGAACCACCCAATTAGAAAAATGCCGAAAAGTAAGAACTTAAAAGTACCACAAAAACAACAATAATGTCGTGCTGATCGGATATATAACATACCTGATTGAATGTACGGGGCGACTTTTTAAAGCCTCCACGCTTATGTGGCGATAAAATAGACAAGATAAACCCAAGTCCTGACATACGTACAAACTATTAAAATAATTCTTTGAGTGCCAAAATTATATTTCACTAGCTATGTATTAAATAATAATTGATAGATCGATTACTGTAGGGAAATACCATCATTTTGGAAATAAGCTTATGTATGTTCAGTTTTGTATAAAGATAAATACTCATGATGCCATCTATTCTGAACTTATATCAGACATAAAGCTATATAGGAAATAAGTATATATTATTGAGCGCTTTAATCTAGAAAAACGCGAAGTGAACTCAATTTCTAACACCAACATGTACGCAGTCGGTAAGGTGATTCTTTTTCTTTTTTTATAAATACAAGTACTTGATTGATATGCAAAAATACATGTATATAAACATTATAACATTATATCGATTGAACACTTCAGTAATCATGTAATATATTTGACACTTAATTAATGAACATAATAAACTATGGGTACAATACCTCATAAGTTTTGATATTATTGTCTTAATTTGGTCAAAATTTAAAACTTTGATCTTGTATAAAATAAACTCAATAAGTTCTTACGTAAAATAAACTGTTCACTAGAAAATGTAATAAGGTCTGAATGCAAAAAGTATTGTGAAACAGAACTAAAATATCTGAAAAATTTAACTAGTATGGAACGGAGAATTATTTTTAAAAAATTACATCATTTGTTTCTAACATTACGTGCAAACAGACTTTTTCTTATTCTGTATTTGATTTCTTGCAACAATGTTCAATTTGTTTTATCAGTTTTTAGGTTACTGCAGTAAACTGATAATCAATGCCTTGAATTTTATATGACCATCTACATGATATCATTTTGTTTTTACACATCGTTACATAAAACATTTCTTACAGTAGTAGTAGTGTTTGATATGAACCACGAGACAGTATAGAAATTTGGTAGCTGTTTTAGGCTTCTGAAGTAACGGTTAGTTAAAAATAAAGTTCTCGATTTTTCTCGCGAGACGGGCACTACAAAAATGTACACAAACTTTCTGGTTGTCAAGATAATCAATTCCAAATGAATGAAATGAAATAGTCGTATCTTTTTACCAAATGTTTTAAGGTATAAGAACTTGATACATTTAACTTAGTGTTAACTTGCCTATTATAATTTTTTATATTGAGTAGTAACTGACTTCCAGACAAAATGTAGAAATAGAATTTTCGCTTTTCATGCTTATGGTTTACCCCACCCACCCATCAGTCACTGAATATAAACTCAAATGTCTAAACGATAGAAAAATGTGCAGCTTGACTAGACTTGAACTGTAATCTACCGACAGCTATCAGGCCGCTTTCAGTGTCATCATCTCGCCAAAATAGTGAAAAGTTTTTAGTATCTAGCTTTAGGTCTAAATCCGTGTACCCGTTTATATTATATGTTCAGTTATTTTGGTTTTGGAGTGATATATGTGGATATATTACCTGTTAAGATTTTATATCACCCGAGCCGTCAGGCGAGGTTGATATTTTATCTTGGCAGGTAATATATCCACATATATCACTCCAAAACCAAAATAATAATTTTATTACCCTTCCCCTGCCGAGTTTAGACGATTTTTAAAAAAAATCATTGCTGCTTCAAATGAAACATCGAAATAAGATTCCCTTTAGGATACCTCTTCGTCACAACATGACGTCACATAAATACATGACGTATTTTTCCCGTACCTTACGAAAGTAAACAAGAGAAAAGGAGTAGTCTATTGAATGCACTTTTTTGTAATTAATATCAAGCTTTCACAAGGTCATATTTGTTTTTTCGATACTGATGGTAATATGTATCATTACTCTACTTTGGTAAATATTGATCATTTGACAGTTAAAAAGTGCTTTTAAATCGAAATTTACACCGCGTAAAATCGAACCGTACGCGCATCACCTCAGCGCATGTTGTTTACAACGTTGGGTACCAAACGGGAAATTTAGTGTGTATATTACCCGTCTGGCTCGGTTATATCAATTTCTTTCGGGTGATCAATATCCAATCAAAAAGGCGGAAAAAATCTGGAAGGGTAATAAACTGTGACATGAAGTGAAAGCTGAAGACAGGCCTGTAGGGAAAGTCCACCAATAATCGTGCAAGGAATCTGACACGCTCTTATTCATTCATCGAACATGCCTTAAAGTAAAGTGAAGCATAACCTTGATAAAACTATTTATAATCTATTGATAAGCCAAAGATGGACAAATAAAAATTTTAGTACAAACATAAACTACCTAATAGTTTCTAAGGTGAAAAATTCAGCTTTTGGCCGCCATATTGCCAAAATGTTTGATCACGTGATTACGAGATTGACCTTTACAAAACAAATTGTGCTTCAAACATTTTTATAAATTACTTTTTTTAAAGATATTGAAAAAGGTGATTTACTGACTTGTATTCAATTTAAGTACTAAAAAAATAATGAAAATAATTAAAAACATTATCTTGAATTATAAATATCGAAATCATGTCAACAAAGATGTTCTAAATATAGTACACGACTCTACTCTAATCGGTTCTCGCGAATGTTGTCATACAAGGTCTCGCGGTGCACCTAGCTAAATTATTACAGTCATGGCATTATCGCAAAATGTACAAGCATTGATTGGGGCAAGGGTATTTGCAAGTGAAAAATTAGGTTAAATCAACTTACGTTATTCTGTTTAAGTTTCGTAATGGGTCTTATCCAAAACATTAATGCCGCATCAGATGAAAAACAAAAATATTAAAAAGTGGCTTATAAAGTTTTGGAAGCCAGAACTATTTTGAATCATGACATATACCCCCACCATATTGAAATTTGTCCCCGAATTTCACAGAGTTACAGAGCAATGTGAATTAAACTCTGAGCGCTGTACTGTCATGGCCCCAACGTGGTTGTCAAATGTCACAGGGTGGGAAAAAATGTGCACCCTTTGAGACGTTGAACCCGGGACATTTAGAATACTGTACCACAGCTCTACCGACTGAGTTATACGGACAATTCCACATCATGCATCTCCCTTAAATTATATATGTGTACAGTTCTGAACCATGACATACAGAAGCACCTTGTATATTGAAACACAATCCATCACAATTTATGAGTTCAGAGACCCAATGTTACTTACACATAATTATGTCTCAATTAATATGTCAATTTGTTGTATTTCAACCTTTAGATGTTTATTTATATCCAAATCACTATTCTAAGCCACAGGAAGTCATAAAGCCAGGTTTTAAAAGGCGGGTTTTATGTACCAACATTTTCATGTTTGAAATGAACATTACTTTAAGCCACAAGCTCAGGTAACAAAAATTAAAAAAAAAAAATATTATCCATTCTGAATAGCAGACCCTGACTTCAGCTATCGTAAACAGTCTTTCAGGTGCGATTTAGAGAAATGCACTTTTTTTTTAACAGTCAATGGAATATATAGTAATTACTCGTTGTAGTTCTATTTATAAATCTCCCTTTTCTGATAAACTGCTCGTTAAGATGTGGATAGTTGGCAAATCAAGCCACTAATTAAAGTGAAGTCAATTAAAAGAAGACACATACAAAATGTTGTAACATTAGTATGATACTTGCAGCTTTAGCTATTCATATAAGTTTTACTGTCAGAGTGTAGTTCATTGACTTCATTGCTGTATTTAAAATAACTACTGTGTATATAATCTGACAACATAAGAGGACTGGTTACATCTGCAAATACTTACGTTTGGTCTTTCATGGGGCAAGCAATTATTAAACAAGTCAACCAAAAAGGCAAACCAAACCCTTGGTTTTCTACATTATGGCATAAAAGTAAACTCAGAGGCCTAACCGAAGGCCATGGTAAATAAAACCCTTGTTTAACCACAAATATAATATGCGTCCCCGTCCTCCATTTGTCAAACCCAAATTGATCTGAAAGAAATGAATCTGTCCAAATTCAAAAAAAGTTCTGAATATTTGGTCAAATCTGACTCAGGACATACATCTGACATTTACATGATCTTCATTATATTAACTGTAGGCTCTCTATGGTATAATAAACTGTTTGATGTACAACATCACCAACAATAGAGGCACTATCTCTATAAAAGGTTATCCTTAAGTGCCGTCATGACATTTTATCAAACAATGAAACTCCTGACCCTAATAATTTGATTACAGATCAAGTTTGTGTTTATATGTATGTCTGAGAGAAATTTTAGCCAAGATGACCAGTCCATAAAGAACTATTATGAATTTGCCAGAAATGTTTTCTTTTAGTAACAAATTCTTTGTAAAATGCTCAATGTCTATCAATTCATTTACATAAAATAGTTACTGTATTATTTTGCTTTTTTCCAGAGTCCAGAAGAGAAGATTATAGCAGTGACAGTAAGTACATACCATTTTCGTTAGTATGTATATGGCTTACATTTGTAAAGGAGAATTTTCACTAGTCCGCTCGTAATTACTAGTAGAATTTAAGAGAATTCAATACAAGACAAGTAGAAAAATGTTGCCTGCACATTGGATTTTAGAAGCTACTCATCCTGCAGGACAAGTGACTCTGAAAATAATTTACAATGCTTGCTAGTATGGCTTATATTTGTAAGGCAGAGTTTTCACTCTTATTTACTATTCAAAATTGTCCTTGAAGGAAACGTTGTCATTGACAACAGTTTCAAGAACACTGAATATGAGGAGTAGTTTTATTTTCATGTTTACCTCCTGTAATCCACATTCATTATTTTAACTCTCGGAGTGAAATAATATTTAACTACTTAGAAATGATATTGGCTTATAATCAAAATACTGATCTTTTGTACTCCGGTCTATCTATGTAAATAGAGTGTTTATTGTCTGCTGCTCTAGGGTCTCCTTTACCTATTCTCGTTCAACTGCCATCTGCCAATCAAAGACTTTTGATTTGTGTGTCTACTTTTACAGTCTTTTTTAAAAATGTATTATAAAATTATATAAAAAGAAATTTCTACTACCTTCTTACCTACCCTTGTCTCTTAATTTTGCTTTTGCAATGGAGACCATGAACAGAATAACTTATTCCAGCTTTAGTTTGATTAGTATGGAAGAGTGTTGATTGCTAGCATTTTCCAGTTCAATTATTTTTGTCAGAGTTCTTGCACTTAGGAACTTCTCCAGATTGATTGGTAGCTAAGCTCAAGTACTTGTGGTAGCTCAAGTACTTGTGCATATCATACAGGTTTTTAGGTTGAATGATTTTTGGCTTAGTTATGGCCCTTGAAAAAAAATGTGTTTTATGATTTTTGTGTTGCCTGCCACACTGTAGCTGATACATGCTTCAGAGTAGCCATGACTTAAAAGAAACGTTTCTTTGTCATCTCTTTTGTCTGTCTGTTCATCTGTCTGTCTGTCACAAAGCTTGCCCAGACAACTCCTCAAAAACTACTGGTGCAATTTCATCCAAACTTTACTGGAATGATCATTACCCAGTGTAGTTGTGCATTTTCCAGTTCTTTGATATTTGTTAGAGTTATAGCCCTTGAATTACTTTTGTTTCATTCATTTTTGTCCAGACTAATCTCTTTTACTACTCAAGCAATTTAAGTGAAATTTTAAAGGATTTATACATACCTCAAGTACTTGCATAAATTATGGGTTTTCCAGATAAATGATTTTTTGGCAGAGTTATGGCCCTTGAATAAAAAACAAGTGTTTTGACATGTAAATGACTTTTGTGTCTACTGCTATACAGTAGCTACAACATGCTACAATGCTACATAGCAGCAACATACAGTGAACAAACACCTCTCACTACAATTGCTTAATTGGCTATCATGAGGCAACACTTGTGATCACTGATCGCTCTTCAATTTACGGTTTACTAATTATACCCCCGCACAACAAAGTTGTAAGGGGGGTATACTGGAATCAGCTTGTCCGTCCGTCCGTCCCTCCGGCTGTCCGGCCGTCCGTCGGTTTTTTCTTGTCCGCCCAATAACTTAAGATTCCTTTGACCCTTAGTCTTCATATTTGGCATGGAGGTTAGTCATGATTAGTAGATGACCCCTATTGATTTTGAGGTCACTAGGTCAAAGGTCAAGGTCACAGGGGCCTTGACTTCAAAAAGCTTGTCCGCCCAATAACATAAGATTCCTTTGACCTACAGTCTTCATATTTGGCATGGAGGTTAGTCATGATAAGTAGATGACCCCTATTGATTTTGTGGTCACTAGGTCAAAGGTCAAGGTCACAGGGGCCTTGACTTCAAAAAGCTTGTCCGCCCAATAACTTAAGATTCCTTTGACCCACAGTCTTCATATTTGGCATGGAGGTAAGTCATGATTAGTAGATGACCCCTATTGATTTTGAGGTCACCAGGTCAAAGGTCAAGGTCACAGGGGCCTTGACTTCAAAAAACTTGTCCGCCCAATAACTTAAGATTCCTTTGACCCACAGTCTTCATATTGGCATGGAGGCTAGTCATGATAAGTAGATGACCCCTGTTGCTTTTGAGGTCACCAGGTCAAAGGTCAAGGTCACAGGGGCCTTGACTTCAAAAAGCTTGTCCGCCCAATAACTTAAGATTACTTTGACCCACAGTCTTCATATTTGGCATGGAGGTTAGTCATGATTAGTAGATGACCCCTATTGACTTTGAGGTCAAAGGTCAAGGTCACAGGGGCCTTGACTTCAAAAAGCTTGTCCGCCCTATAACTTAAGATTCCTTTGACCCACAGTCTTCATATTTGGCATGGAGGTTAGTCATGATTAGTAGATGACCCCTATTGATTTTGAGGTCACCAGGTCAAAGGTCAAGGTCACAGGGACTTTAACTTCAAAAAGTTTGTCTGCCCAATAACTTTAGATTCCTTTGACCCACAGTCTTCATATTTGGCATGGATGTTGATCATGATTAGTAGATGACCCCTTTTGATTTTGAGGTCACTGGATCAAAGGTCAAGGTCATAGGGGACTTTGACTTCAAAAAGTTTGGTCCACCCATTAACTTAAGATTCCTTTGACCCACAGTCTTCATATTTGGCATGGATGTTGATCATTGACTATTAAGATGACCCCTATTGATTTTGAGGTCACTGGGTCAAAGGTCAAGGTCACAGGGACCTTGACAAAAAAAAAGCTTTTCTTCTTAATTGCTAAAGAATATCCTGTCCGCAATGTATTGATTTTGACATTTTCACATTTGAAGCATGTAGAATACATAACTTAGCAATGCACTGGCTTAGTAACCTCAGATTTGGCAGGGAGGTTGTCCTTGAGCTCTAAATGGCCACTGTTGATTCTGACAAAGTGGTATGCGGGGGTATTCACGCCATGATAGTGGCAGTTCTAGTTTTACACTGCTTAATTTTTAGAGTATGGTTCAGAAGTATTTTAATTTTGAAACTGTCCTTCGATTGAAAACGGTTTTAGGAACAACAAGCTAAAAGTAAGTTAATTAGGCTCTATGCAAGGAGCAATATAAATTATGCAAGTAATTCTCTGCTTTCATACAGAGGGTTAAATAGAGATGTATACTCCAGAATTCAACAAATGTTGGTTCCCCATCCCCCATCTTATTCTTGGTTACAAACAAACTTTAACAGTTACCTCTTGGTAAAGTTATTGATGATAAGCCTAACACATTGATTACTATTATGAATGGTAATGCACTGTGAAGCTATAAAGTAAAAGTTGTTTTGTAATGTACCCAGGGGAAAAAGATAGGAAAACTTCACATTTGCTGAGTTCCTGATAACATCTATTACTGATAATAAACAATGATGGTGCATGGGCATTTAACAAATCCATTTGGAATACTTACTACAAACTGTAAGTTGTAAGTATAACTGTCAACAAAACAGCAAAGATATGTTTTGCATATTATAATAACAGAGTCAGTGTCCACATTTAAATAAGGAAACATTTTTTAACTTAAAGGGACACTGAGGTTTAAAAGCCTAAAAACATAACATTTGAATTTCTTACATAAATGAGCTGGGGCACTTAAAACAGACAGATATGCATTGATAGTAAAGAAATATACTTAGAAATAAATAAAAAATGGTATGTTTATGCAATTTGAGTGAAAAGCATTAGATAAATGCTTTTCAATTTGGGTCATTTTTTGAATAATTATTCTGGAAAAACGAAGTGCACAAATGATCTGAAATTTTGCACAAAGATTAGTGGTCTTAATTAACCTACATCAAATTGTTCATTTATCTGGAAAAATATGTTCAGTCCCATCATGTCAAAAAAACCTCAGTGAGGTCCCTTTAAAATTTTGAAAAAGAAATACTAGTTAAAAGTAATTTTTTTTAATAATATGAAGTGTGATTTATGAGATCAATTTTCATTATTGGCCTCTCAACTCATGTGTGAGAGGTAGTCCAGTGGTAAACTAGGAACTTAAAACATGAGTATGACTGACATCAACATATTATTTTAAGTGTTCAAACATTATATAAATATACCCATATAAATATACCCATATTAAGTAGAAAAATTAATCAATTTATCATAATTTATTGCTGACATTAATTATTGATATATAGCAGTATATTGATTGGTTTTTAATTCCAATTAGATTAAAGCACCTTGATAACAGTTCATCACACTATAACCTAAACACCGTAACAATGTGTGGGAAAATATTCTCAGGCTTTAAAATAACTTTAGCATAATACTTTTATCTTTGATTTTAGGACAAAGCCAATATTCTGGGGTTTTTGTGTGTTTTTTTGTCTTGTTTTTTATTTTTTTGTGAATGTTAATATGTGACTCCAGTCATTTTAATGTCAAAGTCAGATTCTTTGAATTGTGGCTGAATTTATATCAGATATTGTGTCATATTTCCAATAGAACTGTGTGTTTTTATCCAAATTTTTCTGTGTTTTTATCCAAATTTTTCTGAAGATAAATTCTTGTTTATGATTGAAAGCAGATATATTTTTTTTCTTCAGACCAGAAAATCATAAATGCATGTTAAATCATATTAAAATGTGTATTAAATTTTCCTGAGTACTTTACTGTACAATTGTATCACTTTATTTGCCCCTAGTCACTGTCTTAAAAAGTTGATCAAACATGCAATTTCAAAATCAGGAAGTCACATTTTATGAAGTAGAAAGTTTAATCATCAAATATCATTGTTAAATCAATATAATGGAAGGAAAACAAAACTAAAACCTTGCTCTGTTGAATTTGTAAAGTAGTAAGTTTATTTAAAAGAAAGTTTAACGTTAAGTATATTTATGAAAATTGGAAGGTGTTTTATTCTATGAAAAAGGTAATTAATGTTTTAATTAGCTGTTATTTTTAGTTTATTTTAATTAATACTTTCTATTTTGAAGTATTAAATTCACCCTGTCTTTATCATTGTTAACAGTTAACAGTTGATATTAAAAAAAAAAAATGAAATAAAAAATGAAACAATACAAGCTTTTTGTGCAGTTAGCACATACACCCTTAACAAATGTAACAGATTAATTTGTGGTGTAAACAACTTACCTGCACTGTAATGGCTAAAAATGAGGCCACTTCTGCCAGGCAACTCACTAAAATTATGCAGTGTTCCCTTAAAAATCAATTATACATCAAGTTTTTTGCTTCCCTCTTTTTGCAAAAATAATATTGTGTTAAAATACTTATATTCTTCCAAAAATTAAAGGGTAGGGTTCCTTAATTCCAAGACTTGTGAGCAAAATACCTGGTGTACCTTAATTGTCAATACACGTGTAGGCTTGAAAAACAATTCCTATTCAAAGAATGGCATAAAGACAACAAAATTTCACAATTTTCTTCTGTTGTTGTTTTCTAATATAATATATATATTTTTTTTCCACATGTTAAAAAAGAATATTCCATGAGTAGATTTTCATGCATGCTTCTTTTGATAAAAAATTCTGTTAATAAAGGCTTTGTCAAAAATACAAACTGATCTATGGTCCTTTTCATTGTACAAGTTGAGAAGTGGTGAATTATTAATGAGGGCCTAATGTCATTTTAGCAATGGAGTCATACGCCGGTAAAATATATTATACTATAAAGGTGTCTGTGCATACAAGACTAGACTTTTGTACGTTATGAGGCAGTAGTTATGGACAGAAATTATTTTCTGTTTCCACTTCATAATAATGACAGATTTTTCAGAAAGTCTACAAGAACGAAGTTGGTACGGAAATTTATATGAAATTACTGGATTATAAGTTTGTGCTTGGTAATTTTGTGTGTAAAATGTGTTTCAAGTTTAGGATTAGCATAATATTAATCAAAAATATTATATGACTGATTTTATATCGACAACAATTTATTTCTAATATGCTGTGGAGGATAAGGTTAAAATTTTTAGACATATATTCTGTAAATTGAGATTTAAATTTATGGATAGCTAAAATGATTATGATTCTTATATTTAAGTTTGATAGGCTTAAAAATAAAATTCTTAATGAGGTATGGCGAAAGGATGGTTTGAGATTCTACTTCACATCCCCTGGATTTTGGTTTGAAACAGGTGGAGACTATATTTTGATAACAATTTAATAAAGTCTTGGGAACACAGGCTTGAAAATTTAGTATTATAACTTTCCAACTCATATATTATCTGACATTCAGGAGGTGAAATTCAGGAGCATGTTTGGAAATACATGTATTACTAACATTTTGTTTCTTTATATATTTCAGATGCCACATAAGATTCCTTTTAAAGTGATCCATGCTTCAGGTCAGGACGAGAATTTTAGGGCAGCTGAACTTAATCACCATAATCCACTGACCAAAGGATGGCAGTCTGCAAAGTATGTACATATTCTAGTAAAACTTAATATAGTTAGAAATAGAAAGAGCATCAAAACATAAGGCAATAAATTAATTGTTAATTGTGGTTCAGATTAACTATAGAAATAAAACATTTTCAATGAAGGTTTTGATATTTTTACCATTTTTAACAGTATAGTCACATTTTAGTCCGATTACGTAAGATGATTCCATTAGTACACTATAGGACTAAGTCACTTCTCAGTTTTTACCACTAACAAAATACAGTTTTTACCACTAGCAATATTTGAGGGAAAATTGAAAAAAGACCTGTAGTTTTCCTTAAAACTAAAAACCGATAAATATCCATGAAAGAATTAAAGAGAGATTATAGGACATAATTTGTTCTCTTAAATTAACGAAAACCTTCGCTGAGTGGTTAAGGCCACAGTGACTTGAACCTTTGGTATGTCATTTCTAATGGTTCAAAGCCTGTCATGGACATTAAAAATAGATTTATTGAAAATTAATGAAGAAGCTGTCAAGCTAATGCTTATAGAAAGTTATTGATACTACTTTCATGACCTTAAATAATGAACAAATGATCCCCTTAGGTCTTCTGATCAAGTAAAGTTTTAAAGTTGCCAATTATCACCTTAACATTGTTGAACTGTTACTTAAAATCATTCAAGGAAAGGGGTAACAATTTTCTAAAAAAGCACTATTGTTTACTCACTATTGGTAAATGTCTCCCACATTGTGTAGGCATGATTCAAGTTTCAAGTTTTATTTACATATTCTCTGTTTGCATACATACAAATACAAGAGATAATACATGTCAATTATTTTACATACAAATAGTCACATGCATAGCAGAGAGCAACACAAAGTTCTAATACAGTTCATTCATAAGAATTATTAACGAAAATTAAACAATTCAGACACATACTGCAGTATAGAAAAAATAATGTTTTGGTTTTTTTTGCCCTTTTTTTACCTACATTTTAATTCAGTGCAATGACATGTACACAATTACAGTTATGTACATAATGATGTTACCTAGGTGTAATGAATTATTTTGCATTTAAAGTTTTTGCAGCAGCAGTAGTATGTATTAAAATATTTTTTTTTTAGTTTTTTTTTATTGAGGATTTGACATAACAATTCCTGTGGGTTAAAACTAAGAGATAACCTACTTACCTATTTTTTAAGCAATAAGCCTTTTATAATCAGATGTAAAGCCATTAGCTAATATATTCAAACTGTAAGGAGGTCTATCTATCTTAATGTTCCCACTCCTCAACTCAAAAGTACATTAAAATTCTTATTCTAGATTTACTGGTTCACTTTCAGCAAAAGATATAATTAATCTTAAATAAAATATATAAATTTCTATATCAATTTAAAAATAAATAAATATTTTTTCAATATAATTAGGGACATTTTGCATTATAAATGATAATGAATTTTTATTGAATTTCCAATTTAATTAGAAATGCTAGATTTAGTTCCATTAGTATGAATTAGACAAGTCATTTACAAATCAATAGTTTGACATCAGCTTGTATATATATATACCTATATTATCTATATTATGCCCTAACAATACTTCCGAGGCATTTGCCCCATTAAATAGAAAGTAAACAGCCATATTAATAATGAATGGAAACTCATTATCATATCTATATCTCTTAAAGATCAAAAAGTACACTTATATTTAGAATGATATAGTACATTGTTTAGTCAAGCAGTGCATTTAACTAATGGAATTGTTCAAGATGGAATTGCATAAAATTAAAAAAAATTTCTCTTCATCAAATAAACGTTGTTTTCCTTTAATTTTATGCTTGTGTCACCAAAGCCATTTTGTGACTGTTAATTAAATGAGCATTTTATAAGAAACTTAAATAAACTCATAGAAAGAGCATTTTATGAGAGGCTATCATCATAATTCTCATAGAGCATTTTATGAGAGGCTATCATTATAATTCTCATAGAGCATTTTATGAGAGGCTATCATCATAATTCTCATAGAGCATTTTATGGGAGGCTATCATCATAATTCTCATAGAGCATTTTATGAGAGGCTATCATCATAATTCTCATAGAGCATTTTATGGGAGGCTATCATCATAATTCTCATAGAGCATTTTATGAGAGGCTATCATTATAATTCTCATAGAGCATTTTATGAGAGGCTATCATCATAATTCTCATAGAGCATTTTATGGGAGGCTATCATCATAATTCTCATAGAGCATTTTATGAGAGGCTATCATTATAATTCTCATAGAGCATTTTATGAGAGGCTATCATCATAATTCTCATAGAGCATTTTATGAGAGGCTAACATAATCTCATAGATTGAGCATTTTATGGGATGCTAACATAATCTCATAATGTAGATTGAGCATTTTATGAGAGATTTACACATATCTCCTTTCAAACATTTAATATCTATTCACCAAATCATCACAAAAAATCAGCTGTTTTATTTTAGAAGTTTATGTCAAATTAAAAATGTCTCCTAACAGATCTGACACATCATCGTTTTCAGATATTGTTTATACCCACAAGATCTTGTTATACAACTAGAGAAGAGAGCAAGACTCAGGAAAATACAGGTTCTCTCACATCAGTATGACATAGGTATGTATACAGTATCATTTCCCATTAGCTCTCCTATAATAATTTGCAGCCCCTAACAGAAGAAAAGTTAATTTTTTATTTAGGTGTAAGTAAATAGTGCATTGTACAGCCAATTTAGGGCGAATTAGGCCTGATTCCCCTCTCAGAAAAGTAAATATTTTTTCCCTTTTATGAAAAATTTTCCCTCCAAAAATAATTTGTTTTCTTTTTGAGATCCACTTATCATGAGTGGTACAGAGCAATGCATTGTAGTTAAAAAAGATAATAATGCTATAATTGCATTCCCCTTGCTTCCCTCCGCAACACAATTTTCCCCTCTCCATGAGCCTCGCCACAATATCCAGTAAGGTGAAAAAGTCACCTGTAAATTCTCATAAATTACAATAACTCTTACAGCGTATAAGCTGTTCAGCTGTCCTGAAACATTACTCCAGCACCTTATACTTACAATTTTAAATAAAACATTCACATTTTTTTCTGGTCCATTTTGGTCATATTCCAAATATCAAAAGTTTTGTTTTTTTCTTTAATTTCAAAAGGTAAATTCCCAATTCAAGGAACAAAAAATAAAATATTAAGTAAAATTATTGTCATTAATTGATAACATTTACACTGTGTCATAGAAAATTGAAACCTTGCATTTTAGATTGTAGTATGTGCCGCGTCATGACAAAACCAACATAATGGATTTGTGACCAGCATGGATCCAGACCAGCCTGGGCATCCGCACAGTCTGATCAGAATCCATGCTGTTCGCTATCAGTTTCTCTACTTGTTAGAGTTTGTAAGCAAACAGCATGGATCCTGATCAGACTGCGCGGATGCACAGGCTGGTCTGGATCCATGCTGGTCGCAAACCCATTATGTTGGTTTTGTGGTGACGCGGCACATAATTATGTGCTTTTGAGTGAAATATAACAGGAGTTTAATTAACCTAATACCTGATTTCTTTTATTTGATGTATACAATATGTTGTCAGTTTTTCCCCAATTTGCTTAAAACATCATTAAAATTGGCATTTCTGGGGGTCGGATACTATTCCCAAAGTACTGAGAAAAAACCCTGACATGATTTAAATAAGATATTTGAATTTCAGTGTATATTATATTATTACCCTTCCAGATTTTTTCCGCCTTTTTGATTGGATGTTGATCACCCGAAAGAAATTGATATTACCGAGCCAGACGGGTAATATACACATTAAATTTCCCCGATGGGTACCCCACGTTGTAAACAACATGCGCCGTGCGATGCGAATACGGTTTGATTTTACGCGATATAAATTCCAATTTACAAGCAATTTTAAACTGTCAAGTGATAAATATTTACCAAAATAGAGTAATGATACATATTCTCGTCAGTATAGGAAACAAATATTACCTTGTGAAAGCTTGATATAAATTCCAAAAAAGTGCGTTCAACAGACTACTCCTTTTCTCTTGTTTACATCCGTTATGTTCGAAAGATAATACGTCATGTATTTGTGACGTCATGTTATGGTGAAGGGGTATCCTAAAGGGAATCTTATTTTGTCGTTTCATTTGAAGTAGCAATTATTTATTTTAAAATCGTCTTAACTCGGCACGGGAAGGGTAATAAAATTATTATTTTGGTTTTGGAGTGATATATGTGGATATATTACCTGCCAAGATAAAATATCACCCTCGCCCAACGGCTCGGGTGATATAAAATCTTAACAGGTAATATATCCACATATATCACTCCAAAACCAAAATAACATATATTATAAAAAAAAAAAAAAAAAAAAAAAATTATATATAAATATATATGTATATATTATGTTTAATATGAGGTTCAATATTTTCCATGTTTAAGTTGTTGTATATTGTTGTATATTTCAGCCACAAGGATAGAGATATTTGTTGGGGATGTTCCTGAAGATTTACCATGTGTTCTTGACAATGCTAGATATACCAGACTAGGGTAAGGACAATACAGTCTTTGCCAAGAAAGAAAATCTTGTTAATTATTTTGGCATATACAGTGTATATTCGATTTGCAAGGAACAGAATGATTAGCGATTTGTTGTTGATTTCTGATGTCTGCTAATGCAATAAAATACCTTTATTTACCTGAAGAAGTCTTGAATGGTTTGCAGGTTATATTCTATAATATTGGCATCTAAGGTAGTAGCAAAGGTATTTATAAACCTGATGAGCTCAGTACATGTATCTCTTAGATTTTGGCCTTAAGATTTGTCAGCATATATTAGGGCTTCACAAACCACTCGTCCACTGATAAATCTGTCTGAAAAGTAGAAATATTATCTAATACACTAATATTGTATTGCTCTGCTCCTATGATTTCTGTTTTCTTTTTCTTCAGCTACGTGTCACTGTCGGACAATGAGAAGACAGGTTTCAAAGCTCGGGAGCTGAAGTCGGTACACGTGGATGCCGTAGGACTGTTTTTAAAGTTGAATATACATAAAAATCATATCAACAAACATAACTTGTATAACCAAGTGGGTGTTGTGGCTATCAATGTGATTGGAGAAGAGATTAGAAAAGGGCAAGAACTTGTTGATGATTTGGTATGTAGTTTGTTATAGTTAAAACATTACATGTATTTAAAAGGCACATTATGCTTCAGAAATGAATAATTTTATCATTCTTAAGAAAGGGCATTTATAATGTTTAAATAATGGTTTTAAAAGCATGTTAGATGCTTATTACTTGAAGAAAGTAACCCTGAATGTGAAATTATTTGTCATAAAACTAGTAAAATGTTAAGAAAGTGGTATTTTGTCTTCTTTACAAAATACTAAAACATTGTGACTGTTTTAATCCGCCTAAAACAAAAGAAGAAAAATATGAGGTAATTGGTCAATGTATAACTTTTTTGAAACTATAAACTTTACACAAATATTAAAGCTGTTGAAAATTTCAAATGAAAGCATTTCTGAGGCATAATGGGCCTTTAAACATTTATTTAGAATGGACTGTGAACAGTTTCTTGCAAAAATTATATTAATCAAGCTTAAGTTAATATGCTTCCTAGAACTTACAATAGGTAGAACATAAGATTTGTTATGCGGGAGTGGCTGATTTGAATCTGTGACAAGTTAAAATTTCTCTGTGGCAATCAATCTTGGACATTGAGTTGAACTGTAATTTGTCTCTCAAATCATGTAAGATCAGTAATCTGTCACTTGCAGATCAACTGGTTATTTCTTGTTAATTATCCTAGGTTATCGGTTAGGTTGGCATACTGCCAAGATATGACAAAAATGTGTTAAAATTGGCAAAAAAGCCAAACAAACAAGTGTGGCTTGAACTTAGGACCCTTGGTTAAAAGGCAAACACCTTAACCATTCAGCTACCTGTCACCTTGTTAATTATGTTTGCATCATTCAGACAAATGTCTGACAGTGTATTGATTGATTCAAGGTTGTAAATGTTTGTTTATACTTTCAACTAGAGAGATTCAGATTTGCTTCATCATTTTGACTAATTGTACCATTAATAATTTAAATAATACCTAATTTGGTCACATTTAAATGACATACAAATAAAACAAAGATATTCTGAAGCAAACGGGAGTTAATTTAAAAAAAATAAAAGAAATCTCTTGCAACAGGTACAAATTTTTATGAATTTGAAATCATCTCTAAGAAAGGTTTTCATTTTTTTGGGGGGGCATTTTATCACTGTTGATTAAGGAAAGATACATGTAGTTGATTAGATTTGCTGCGGTAAAACGTTTTGTTTAGGGTAAAATGTTATGTATGTATATGTAAAAACTGTGAAATTATTGAACTATTTTCTTCGTTTAGGACATTTATGAACAGAAACAGAAGTTATTTGGAGATGTGGGTACAGATGGATTGGGCAGGTGAGTTGAAAATATGTTAATCATTTTTAAATCACATTGATTGTGTGGCATTTAAGAAATATTGAGCAGATTCTAGAATTTTTGTTCTACACAATGTTAGTGCAGATTTTTAGTCTATATCTTTCATATAATGACTTACATCCCTTGTCCTATGAAAATAATGCATTTTTATCCCCTGCCGAAATGGCGGCGGGGGATATAGAAAAAGTCTCCGTCCATCCGTCTCAAAAAGTATTTGAGGTATCAACTTGAAACTTCATAGGTGGATAGACCTCATTGAGGAGGAGTGCAGTGCACAAGAATGATAACTCTACCCTGCATAATTTTTGAGTAATTTCCCTTTGTTATTTTTCAAAATTAATTTTTGTCTAGAGCATAACTCAAAAAGCCTTTGAGATATCAACATGAAACTTCATAGGTGCATAGATCTCACTCAGGAGGTGTGCAGTGCACAAGAATGATAACTCTACCTTTCATAATTTTTGAGTTATTGCCCTTTGTTATTTTTCATACTTAATTTTTCACCTGAGTGGAGCATAACTCAAAAAGTGTTTGAGATGTCAACATGAAATGTCATAGGTGGATAGATCTTATTGAAGAGGAATGCTGTGCGCAAGAATGATAACTCTTCCCTATATAATTTTTGAGTTATTGCCCTTTGTTATTTTTCATACTATTTTGTCCGGAGCTTATCTCAAAAAGTCTTTTATCAAGTTTGCTCATATAAATTGATTGGCCCCTTTAAGGGGTCTCTAGGGCTAAATATAGAAAAACCTTTAAACATCTTCTCCTACAGAACTAATGAATGGATGATCACCAAACTTTGTCTGTAGCATTCTTGGGTAGTCTTTTATCAAGTTTGCTCATATGAATTTGATTGGCCCCTTTTAGGGGCCGCTAAAGCTGAAAATAGAAAAACCTTTAAATGTCTTTTTCTACGGAACTAATTGATGGATGATCACCAAACTTTGTCGGTAGCATTCTTAGGTAGTCTTTTATCAAGTTTGCTAATATTATTGTGATTGGCCCCTTTTAGGGGTCTCTAGGACTAAAAATAGAAAAAACCTTTAAACATCTTCTCCTACAGAACTAATTGATGGATGATCACCAAACTTTGTATGTAACATTCTTGGGTAGTGTTCTATCAAGTTTGCTCATATTAATTTGATTGGTCCCTTTTAGGGGCCGCTAAAGCTAAGAATAGAAATACCATTAAATGTCTATTTCTAGAGAACTAATTGATGGATGATCACCAAACTTTGTCTGTAGCATTCTTGGGTAGTCTTTTATCAAGTTTGCTTATATTATTTTGATTTGCCCCTTTTAGGGGTCTCTAGGGCTAAAAATAGAAATACCTTTAAATGTCTATTTCTACAGTACTAATAGATGGAAGATCACCAAACTTTGTCTGTAGCATTCTTGGGTAGTCTTTTATCAAGTTTGCTCATAATACTTTGATTTAAGCCCCTTTTAGGGGTCTCTATAGCTAAAAATAGAAATACCATTTAATGTCTATTTCTAGAGAACTAATGGATGGATGATCACCAAACTTTGTCTGTAGCATTGTTGGGTAGTCTTTTATCAAGTTTGCTCATATGAATTTGATTGGCCCCTTTTAGGGGCCGCTAAAGCTGAAAATAGAAAAACCTTTAAATGTCTATTTCTACAGAACTAATTGATGGATGATCACCAAACTTTGTCGGTAGCATTCTTAGGTAGTCTTTTATCAAGTTTGTTAATATTATTGTGATTGGCCCCTTTTAGGGGTCTCTAGGACTAAAAATAGAAAAAACCTTTAAACATCTTCTCCTACAGAACTAATTGATGGATGATCACCAAACTTTGTATGTAACATTCTTGGGTAGTGTTCTATCAAGTTTGCTCATATTAATTTGAATGGTCCCTTTCAGGGGCCGCTAAAGCTAAAAATAGAAATACCGTTAAATGTCTATTTCTAGAGAACTAATTGATGGATGATCACCAAACTTTGTCTGTAGCATTCTTGGGTAGTCTTTTATCAAGTTTGCTTATATTATTTTGATTTGCCCCTTTTAGGGGTCTCTAGGGCTAAAAATAGAGATACCTTTAAATGTCTATTTCTACAGTACTAATAGATGGAAGATCACCAAACTTTGTCTGTAGCATTCTTGGGTAGTCTTTTATCAAGTTTGCTCATAATACTTTGAGTTAAGCCCCTTTTAGGGGTCTCTATAGCTAAAAATAGAAATACCATTAAATGTCTATTTCTAGAGAACTAATGGATGGAAGATCACCAAACTTTGTCTGTAGCATTGTTGGGTAGTCTTTTTTCAAGTTTGCGCATATGAATTTGATTGGCCCCTTTTAGGGGCCGCTTAAGCTAAAAATAGAAATACCTTTAAATGTCTATTTCTACAGAACTAATGGATGAATGATCACCAAACTTTGTCAGAAGCATTGTTGGGTAGTCTTTTATCAAATTTGCTCATGTTATCTAAAATTAAAAAATATATATACATTTAAATGTCTATTGCTACAGAACTAATCAATGTATTATCACCAAACTTTGTCTGTAGCATTATTGGGTAGTCTTTTATTAAGTTTGCTCATATTAATTTTATTAGCCCCTTTTAGGGGCCACTAAAATTAAAAATAGAAATACGTTTAAACATCTTCTCCTACTGAAATAATTGATAGATGATCACCAAACTTTGTAGCATTCTTAGGTAGTCTTTTATCAAGTTTGCTCATATTAATTTGATTAGCCCCGTTTAAGCTAAAGCTTAAATACCCCAGGTCATGGCATTTCCTCAAATTATTGTTTAAACATAGTTATTCTATGCTCAAATTTAATATTAGAATATATTGACATTCCAACACTGAAAAGCAGTTGTTTCTGGTGAGCGACTCAGGGCCATCATGGCCCTCTTGTTTTTCAGTTATTGCCCTTTGTTATTTTAAGCCATCAGTATTCACATAGGTTTCAGATCTGTAATCACTTCAGCCATCAGTTTTCATTACCAAAAGATTTTTTCAACAGCCTATAAATTATGTTTAAAAGTTTAGAATAAACATTGAACTTATTAAGGTTTACTATATTTATGTTATTGAATTGTTTATAATTTCTTATTTATTATTGTGATTGTTTTATTTCAATCTATTATCAAGTAATGTGTTCTTTATTCTTTAAAAGTGTTGTATTTGAATATGCTTGAATAACATCTGTTATCCTAATGTTCAAATCTTTCAACATGAAGTGGGTCAGTAAAACACTTTTTCTGAAAATTGAGTTTGAAATTTTTTCATGATAATTTTCTTTAAAATTTCAGGCCAGATTATATTTCACCATTAGATGATCTAGCATTTGACATGTACCAGGACCCTGAGATTGGTCAAATCATCAGAAAACTTGATAAGAAAAAACAAGAGGCTGTGTTACGTAAGTTGTCTTGAATTAATCTGTAACAAGTGAACTTGTACATAAATCTGCATATATCTTAAGTAATCAAATATGATATTAGCAATTTCTGATGTATATTAATAGTAAAATAAATGGCTGTGTTCCTATATGGTCCTTAAAGTGACCAACAAGCCTTTATTAACCTATGAGGTTTCTGCTGTTTTGGTTGCATATCTTGGCATCGTAAGTTGGTAGACCATGTTTTTGCTAACTGTTTACCTACCTTGCTTTTAGCAACTGATTCTCTACACTTGCAACCTGCGCAGACCAAGATCAGCTGGCACATTTGTTTGGTCTGATCATGGTCTGCACTTGTTAACTATTTCGTCACTTCCTATTTTGAACAAGGCCCTAAAATGATGAATGGTTTTATCCAGATTGGAAAATCTGCTAGTCCATTTTAACATATTTAACATGGTTAGGGTGAATAGAATGATGTAAAAGTTTGTTATTCACTGACCAGATCAAATGATTCTGACTTTGCTGTTTGTCATCAGCAATTTCATTAGCAGGTATCAAAAGGATGTAAAATGACTATAACTTAATATTTGTTCTAATTACAGAGGAAAGATATGAATATGCTAAAAAATTGAAAGCTACCATAGTGGAACTTCAAAAGGTAAAGTTTATGTTTTAACATTTATATTCATATACTTAGAATGATTTTAAAATTATTATTTTACCTCAATTGTTATGAAAGCTTATAGCTCTTTCTATCCACTCTTGAGTTCAACTTACCGAACTAACCAGTGCTATTGGAGAAATATTTTGATGACAATAGTAGGGCTCAAACCTATGATCCTTTGATTGTTGACAACTTGACCACTAGGCCAACACTCGCCTTAATGTTTCTTTATATACATTAGGTGTGGAAACTATCCAACTAGCTTTAACTGCTTTGTTGCTAGCGGTAACAATGACAGTAGCACATTGAAAGTCTGACCAGACTCTCTACTGATGTCCCTTCAATTTTATCTCTGTATTTCTAATAAAATAGAAATAAATAGATAGAGGATATTCAAGTTTTTTCTATAAATACATGATTTATTTTCATCGAGTGGTATGAAAATAAATATTTCATGAGTGGCGGTAGCCACGAGTGAAATATGGTAATTTTCATGCCACAAGATGAAAATAAATCATGTATTTATAGAAAAAACTTGAATTTTCTGTTTATTATATACATTTTTCTCTTTTTTGCGATAAAATTGGAAAGAATTTCCCTTAAATTTTGTGTACTGGCAGAATTTAAAAGAAAGTAGTCCGGCAAGACACCAGTGAAAATACGGAAAATATGTTTCACTGCAGTGAAAAATAAATTTTTACAGTGAAAATACGGAAAATGAAAATACGCATTTTATTTTATCAATATTTCTCAATATTTCATTTATAAGTATATAATAAATGAACATGTTTACTATGTTTCTTCTATATTACATGTATATATATTGATTAGTGACAATGTTATGTTTTATTTTGACGCCATAAGGCTGTAGGTAGGGTAGGGTAGGGTAGGTGAACATTACTTCATTGAATTTAATTCTTTCCTTAACAATAATCAGGCAACTGAACAAATTTAGTGAGAACAAATAAAAATAAAATAAACGAGGTTGACAGGATTACAAAAATAAATTTTATACCATGTTATTCTGATTCTATACTAGTAATGATGCTAGTAATTATGAAAGGTTGTTATATGATTTGTATAATATTTATACAGGCAGGTGAGAAGCTGGGGAAATACGAAGTAGAGAAAAGACAAGCTGTAGAAAATGAGGACTATGACAAGGCTAAACTGAAGAAAGTACAGATGGATGAATATAGGCTACAAGTATACACAGATCTCAAAATAAATGATTTACTCGAAGCTACTGGGGTGAGTATTGTTAATTTCATAGGAATGTATCTTCTTTACTTATAAGTGTTAAGTTGTTTTCTGTGATAACATAATGTTAATTCTCTGTAATAACTTGTCGTTTCCATGATATCTTATTATTAAACTAGATCACTTGAATTTTCAATCAATCAATCAATCAATCAATCAATAAATGCTCCCATGTGCTTGCTGTTGATTGAAATAATGGTCAGAAAATCCTCAACCAGTTAAACTGACATTAGTCACGGTATCCAAGGTAGAGTGGTTTAGATTGACAATTTCATATCGCTCACTCCTTGGTTTAAAGGTCATATGGCAGTTTTGTAACCTTACTATTGAAGAAAAACCTCGGACCTCCCAGGTGTATTATTTCAGGCACAAACAGTCATGTGAATAGAACAATGAATGTTCAGAAAGCTAGATGGATAGCTTCCACACATTAAACAATCCTCCGAACCCACAGCAGTGAGGGGCAAGTGATTTGAAGTCGATGACCTTAACTACTCAGACACGAACGCGCCTAAATTCTAAAAACATTGTATAATGTTAAATACATTATACATCTTGTAAATATGAAAAAAACAAACAAAAAAAACAACAATAATTAGAAATGTTTGAGATTTCTTTTATATTGAAGAATATTACAGTAAACACCCTTTATAACGATATGGCTTATAACAATAAACGGCTTAAATATACTATTGCAACAGCCCGACACTTGTCAAATTTGTTGTCTCTTGGATACAATAATATTAACTGGATATAACGATATAAATTGGGCAGTCCATTGAATATTGTTATAAGCTTGTACTGTACTTCACTACTTTATAACAATATGTTGTAAGTTGCTTTATAACTTATTTTTCAGTCGAGACACCCTAAGAAAATAACACTTGGTAAGTGAATAAAATTGTTGTAGAAATAGTATTTTAGTTTATATAAATGATTATGTTACAATAATTATCTAATTAAGCTTTCTTACAATAAGACATCTGTTTTCAATTCGTTTCTTTTGGCAAATTGACATATTTTCATAATGTGTTTTTTGTCCGGAGATAGTACTATAATTGTATGTTTAATAACATTTTTATCCTGAAATTTTCATATGATTAATCAGCATTTTATAAGGTTACTTGAAGAAATATAAATCATGTAAATTACTACCAGTACAGAGTCAAAGAACATATTTACTCTTACCAACTTGCAATAGTATTACAACCTAACAATGCTGCAATGATTTTATAAATGTTTATATTTTTCACATATATTCTTCTTTTGCATACTACATGATTATGGTCATCTTTGTAAAGTTTATATGCCAATCTATGCCCTTTTTAAACAAAATGAGATTACTTTGAAGGTTTATTGCTGTGTCCGAGCAGTGTAACAGCATAATGTATAAAGAGTTGTGTGAAAAAAACAATTTGTTAGTTTTTATGACTACTGATTTTTTGGTTGGGAAACTACCCGCCTATATGACTGACATACTGTTGGGAAAGGCGTAAAATGAAACAAACAAACAAACTGATTTTTTTGCTTCCTCAGAACCTACAAGGGGACCTACCCCACCACGATTACTTGAGCTACCTCAAAGGAGTCCCAGTCCTCCACCCAGGACCCCTTACGATGAACGTGTTATTCCAGCAATGAAAAGGTATCTTTCTAAATTAGACAGCAAACAATAGACACTAGCATCTTGTCAGAGAGTGCGTTAAGATTGTTCAGATTGTTTTAAGGCATAAATCTGGTTTTCTGTTATCAATTGAAATCTTTACTTTAATTCTCGAAAAAGTTGTTTTTATTTCTTATCTACAGAAGAGTTGAGTTATTATTTAATGGCTGTGTTTTGAAAGTTTATGCTGTGAGTGTTATGTAATTTAAGTTTTAGTGCATTAGAAAGTGCTTTGCAAATTTTGAGAATATAACTATATATTATACATATACAGTATAGTTGGTAACAATAGGCATGAAAGTTTTTGAAGAAGACTTAATCTAACTTATTGATTAAGAAATACTTAAAGACAGGGAATCAGCAATTTAGTAAGTTATTGCCTGTTTATGTATTGGCTACTCTCAGATATTTCAACATAAAGTGACATTATGCCCATCCAAGTGTAAATGGCCAACAAACAGGTAAAAATCCAAACTTAATATTTTACCATAATTGTGTTCAATTTGATATCTTACTACGAAAAAAAATCAATAATCGAAAAATTCTATAATCACAGTTCAGAATGTAGCAATAATCTCAATTCTTAAAAAGAGTGAGGCAGTCTTTATATAACTTGGGTCATTTATATATTGTAAAATAAACAATTTTCTCAAGTAGGTTATCCACTATTGTTCAATCACCATTATAATAGTCAATCTTATCAAATATATTACTAATTCAACTCAACTTGACAGGAAACACTTTAACACTTACAAAGCTTAAGTTTTATAATGGACTGTCTTTGCTTTGAAATTGGAACAGTAAATTATTATGATAGTGATTTCATTGTAAAAAAAGAGAAGAAAATGTAACAAATAATAGGATAAAGTATGGTCCACACTAGCTCATCTTAATCTATACAGGTGGACAAACCTCATGCTTCTCATGCTGTAATTGCTTAAAGATTTAACCACTTAACCTGCTGAATTTGTGTAATGGATTTACCCTTCTTTAAATTTGGAACAGTCCATTTGAAGTTGTAGGGATTTTCAGTATCAAAATACAAAAATTAAGCTATCAATAGTATAGAGCCAGACATTGCTGCATGGAAATGCAGAATGGCCTGGCTATATTGGTAGAAGTGGCTAGTCATTTCCATTTAGAGTAAATTAAAATTTTGTCATTGAAAAAAAATATGGAAATTTGAAATTATTCTCTTCAAAAACTTTCAAGTATTATAACTGCCTGCAAAATTTTGTATGATGCAAAAGAATATAGAATGCTAACATAATGAAAAAAAAGAGGAAAAGCATGGCCTGTAGAATTAACACAAAGAGCTTCCGATGGAATGATATTTCAGAGCAGTAATTTGCAGACTTTATATGTACAGTAGATATGTTATATTAGGCTACCTTTTTGCCAAGATGGCATAGATATAAGATGTGTAACTGTTAGAGTAAAAAATTGTCCACCATTTTAACTTTCTGCTGGAAAAAAAATGTATTTGTAGTTTCAGATTTTTATCAAATTTGTTTTAGGGATTTGTAATTTGTTAGAAGTTGTAATACTGTTCTGTTGCTTGACTGTATTTTGCTGTTACTCTTATGTTAGCCATAGAGCCCAGTCACCATCAAGTCCAAGAGTTAGAACACCATATGATGAACGACCTTTACCTATACATAAGTGAGTAATCACAGTAATAATGGTGTGCATGTGTGTTATTGCTATTTATAGCCTTTGATTGCTATTTATAGCCTGTCTGTGATTGGTTGGGCTATTTATAGACTGTCTATAATTGGTTGGGCTATTTATAGCCTGTCTGTGATTGGTTGGGCTGTTTATAGACTATCTATAACTGGTTGAGCTATATATAGCTATTTATAGCCTGAATGTGATTGGCTAATTGATATAATACATTGTGTAATGAAGAACTGAGAGTCACTGTGTTTGATGTTTTTTTCTCTCTCACAATTATTAACCATGAAATGTAACAAATCACCTGTATACTAACAATATCTGAAAAGGGCTGTCAGTAAAACTTCTATGTTAGTATTGATAGATACTTTTCTTTTGACTTATCTAAAAGTAACATTTATTGTTCAATATTATTAAATTAAACAGCACAAAAAGTAATTATTAATACTAAGTGTATGACTAATAAAAAAGTTAAAAAGAAAAAAACTTTATAAACATTCAAGATATAAAAATATTATTTAATGTTAATGATGATTATAATGAGAATGAAACATTGATAAGGTTTGTATATTATTTTTCAAATACAGAAACCCGATTTCACAGAAATTATTTTTTTT